TGAACTGCTGTATGAAAAGTGAATTTACTCTGTAAATCTTCACCCAAATCCTAATTAAAAAAAAAAAAAAAGTCACACATGTTTATTTATAATTATATGTAACACTATACATTTATGTTTTATGTACTTTTCTTTAAATAATGGAATTCACAAGTTCTTAAATGGTAATAAAAAAGAATTAACAGATTAAGTCACATGCTGTCTATCTTCTGGTCAAACCCTCTATCTCATCTAGAAGAAAAAATTAAGTTCTTTCTGTGTCCTAGAAGGGCCTATACAAACTGAGCACTGCTCTCTTGGATCTTGTCTCTGACTTATCTCTCCTTCAGCTGTTCCAACCACTCTGGCCTCCTCATTGCTCCTTAAACACACCAACACAGATCTGCCTCACTGTTTGCTGTTCCCTATGCCTGGAATGCTCTTCCCCCTAGTAATCTGCATGGCTCCTTCCCTCACAGATACCTGCTCAAATGTCACCTTCCTAGAATAACTTTCCACAACCAACCTACATATAATAACACTCTTTTAATCCCATCTCCTCAGCTTATTTTTCTTTTCAGCACTCATTTTGCAGAATGTATATTTGTCATATTCTGTCTTCCCGTAACAAGAATATAAATTGTATGGAAAAGGAACCTAGTTTGGATTTTTCGTTGCTAAGTGCATTATTAAATGCTGTACCTGGAACTCCATCTGACACATGGCAGAACAGGCATACCTTGGAGAAACTATGAGTTTGGTTCCAGACCACCTTAATAAAGCAAATATTGCAATAAAGCAATATTATCCAAGGAGCTATGGCAGCACAGTTTAAAGCATTCAGCTGCTAACCAAAAGGTTGGTGCTTTGAACCCATCAGCTGCTCCACAGGAGAAAGATGAAGCAGTCTGCTTCTGTAAAGACTTACAGCCTTGGAAACTCTTTGGAACTATGAGTTAGAATCAAGTAGATGGCAGTGGGCTTTTTTTTCATTTTTGCAATAAAGCAAGTCACACAAATTTTCTGGTTTCCCAGTACATATAAGAATTATGTTCATACTATAATATAGTTTATTAAATGTGCAATAGCATTATGACAAAGTTTGAAATATTGTGAGAATTACCAAAATGTGACACAGAGACACAAAATGAGCATAAGTTGTAAGAAAAATAGCACCAACAGACTTTCTCAGCCCAGAGTTGCCACAAACCTTCCATTTGTAAAAAGCACAGTATCTGCACAGCACAATAAAACAAGTATGTCTGTAGCATGTTATTTTGCATTACTGATGACTGAGTGAATTCCAGCATGAGGAGAGACAGCTAGGGAGCAAGGGCATCCCCTGTGAGTTAGTGGTTATAGCCCTAGTGCCAGGCCTCCCCCATATACCAGTCAGCCGACTGCATGCAGACCACTCTCTCCATGGGTACAATAATCCTAATCACAGTCACATGCCTCACAACAGTCTGATCTCATCACATGACAAATGAGAATAAATGAACTCACAGCACTGGAAGGATCCTTAGAATGTACCCATCCCTCCTGTGCCCCGGTCCCTTCTATGCATCTGACTCCTGTGCATCTTATGGCTGTGGTGGCTCAGAAAGCCTATCACTGGGATTGGCAATGGCTCCCACCATATAATTCACTGATGAAGGATCAATGATGGTGTTGCCTTCCCTACAGGACCAACCCATTGCAATTACTTAGCAGAAGAAAAGTCTAATGTTATCAATTAACCTAAGTCACTTAGAAGCAGGGCCCCCAGTTACACATACACCAACCTGCCTGATTGGAGGATGTTTTCCAAGTGTTCCTTCACACTTCCTAGAACCACAAAATCAGATAACTAAATGAAGAGAGCTCAAAGGAGTGGTTACCAGGTTAGATGCCACCCTAAATGTCACACAGAGCAGTGCTTCTCAGCCTCGACTGCACCTAAGAATCACTTGGGGAGCTTGTTAAATCCTGATGCCCAGGCTATGCCCTGAAACCAATTATACTGTAATCCCTGGACACATGATCCTGGCATCAGGGCTTCTGAAAGCTCACCACCAAGTCAATTCTGACTCATGGCAACCAAGTATGTTATAGAGTAGAACTGCAACATAGGGTTTTCTTAGCTGCAATCTTAATAGAAACAGATTGCCAGGCATTTTGTTCTATAGGGCTGCATTCAAAGCACCAACCATTAGGCTAGTGGCCAAGCACAAAGCATTTGTGCCACCCAGGAAAAACTCACCAGCTGAGTGTGAATGAGCAGCAAATGTTAGAAAACACTGAAGTAAAAGTATGTGGTTGTGTTGACCTAAAAAGTCAGGGGAGGTACTCCTTTGGCAGCACAGACATTAAAAGTGTGGAGAGTGGGGGAGGCATCATCTCCTTACCTCACCAAGGTGTCACTGCCAGCTCCCCCTGGACTGTAATACAGCACGTTCTCCAAGGACAGAGAGAACTTCAGCCCCTCTGCCTCTGAGATGTATAAATTGGTGCGGTTGTTACTATGACTGACACACACAAACACCTGGTCCTCCGAGGCATCTGCAATGTAGTATTCCTTTGGATCCAAAAGTCAAAAAACGCGTAAGTCAAAAAACATGTATGCCGTGCAAGCTACCCCATACACAAGAAAGCAATGACTTTCAAACGCCTCACTGAGGAATGTGCCCTGAAGCCCACACGAAGCTCCCCAGTCTTGACAAGGAAGCTTGTTAGACTCTTCCTTTTGAGGAACTTGACACTGGTCTACAGCTGGAGCAGGCCCTCGAGTTGGCAAATGGGGTCACTAAACTTCGAAAATGACCTAAAACCTTTTTTTCTTAGTAATAATGTCTCCCTCTTCCATCCTTGATATCTATCATTAGAGAAAGTACAATATAGATTAATTTCCATTTCATTTCCTCTATTTTCCCTAAAACAACAAAGTAAGGTAGAAACCATAGAAAGCAGAGAATGGACAAGAATATCCTCTGTCATATACTCTTCTGAGCTACTAACTTTCCACCAAACAACTGTGAATACCAAGGCCTTCAAATGCCACCTCCTCCCTGCGTCATTTTGCTGAGGACCCTGGTCCATGATGATCTCTCCTATCAATCTTTATTAGTTACAATATACAGTGCATATTTATGCATTTAACTACATGAGGCTTTTGTAATTTTATGCAGTTATCTCCCATTCAAGTTTTGGTCTCTCCAAACTATTTTTAAAAGGTAGGAGCTCTGGTAAAGTAGTGCCTAAGGCACTTGACTGCTAACCAGAAGGCTGGTGGTTCAAACCCACCAGCCACTCCTCAGAAGGAAGGTTGGGCAATCTACGTCCGTAGTGATACTGCCTCGGCAACCCAAGGAGGGGTCACTATGAGTCAGGTCCAACTCGACGGCACATAACAACAACAACAACAACAGGGCCTAAATCTTCTCCCCTTTTGGAACCTAAATGCCTATAAGCAATACAGCAGGTACTTAATAAATAACTGCTGTTGTGCTCTGATTTCCTTGTCTTTAGTGCTGGCACGCTAAGCCCACTGACTGGCTCCAAACCTCTCTGCCAGCCCTCTCCATGTAAAAGCTCCCCATTCAGATCCACTTCAACTAGTGAAGTGGGAAAACAATAGACCAAGATGCACAAAATGCAATGGTTCTCTCTAGAAACCTATCTGGAAAATTACTTCAGGGAGCCTCCCTCAAATATCCACCAAGCAAAACGTCTCTGGGACATTCTTCCTCTATCTTCAACACAGGGACAATAACATTTCCTCCCACCTCCAAGCAGACCCCACTCACATTAATAGGATGTCTTGTGACAAACTGGGCTGCTCTCATGGGCTGCCGGCCAAAGGAGACCCAGAGCTGGACAGAAGACTGCTGCTGACTGCCCCAGAGATGCTGCCAAGGAGAAGGAAAGAAAAATTAATTGTGCTAGATTATAGCCACTCAAAACCAAGGGAAAAAGAAAACAGAATACTCTGATTTTGTTAAAAACACAAAATAGAGTATAATGCAAATTCACATTTTTGCAATGTCTGTCATCACTGGAAAGCTTAGGCTGTGCTGTTTAGATGTCTGGTCTTCAATAACCCATAAAACTCATTGCCATTGAGTCAATTCTGACTCACAGTGACCCTACAGGGCAGGGTAGAACTGCCCCATCAAGTTCCCAAGGCTGTAATCTTTATGAAAACAAATTGCCACATCTTTCTCCTGTGGACTGGCTGGCTGGTTCAAACCACTGACCTTCTGGTAAGCTGAGCACGTTAACCAATGCATCACGAGGACTCCTGTGAGTCAACAGATTCTTCAATAGATTCTAGGTACTCCATGGATATTAAGTGAGAAGGAAGGATAATGGTAAGGTAGGATGGTGTGGGAAGAGACACAGAGGCTGCCAAAGGTTAAACAGAGTGAACAAAGAGGAGTGGGATATGATACAACTAGACAGACTCGCCACAAAGAGCCCAAAGCCCCACAGTCTTCATTAACTCTGATGAGATCAGCTTTTCTAACTACACATCATGCACACAAACTTTTCTCCTTTCTACTCTCATTTCTAGATTACAAGTATAATCGAGTCATAAGGCTTTAGTGTGCAGCAAACTTCAAAAGCCCTCCCTAGCCAGTAAAATGTTACACTACGTATAGAGGTCAGAAGGCTAGTTTGAGTCATCCTATACACATATAAAGGAGCTCTGGTGGCATAGTGCCTAAGGCATTGACTGCTAACCAGAAGGTTGGCAGATAAAACCCACCAGACACTTCGTGGAAGGAAGATGGGGCAATCTACTTCCGTAAAGATTTTTCTCCTTGTAAACCCAATGGGGGTCACTATGAGTCAGAATCTACTCCATGGCAGTGAGTTTGGTTTTGATTTTTTGTATACACATAGAAATCCTTACGAGTATCTCTGAATACACAGTTGTCAATGCAATACTCATTGTTATGCTTTATATTTCTTCACTAATTACAATTACTGCCTTGGAAACCCAAGTAGGGGTCGCTATGAGTCGGGGGCCGACTCAACGGCACATAACAACAACAACAACAACAATTACAATTATGATTATAGTTTAGAAAGGAGCCATTTCTCAACAACACTAAGACCCACTGCCAATTAAAGTTCTAAATGCTTGCTACTGGGAGGCCTGAGTGTTGACAACATACATCAAGATAAGTCTTACTGAAATATACAAAACTCACAGAAAACTAAGGTCTTCTTAGAGACTTTAAATCCCATCCATCCCACTGTCTTTTGGGAGAACTACTCTTAAAACTGGACACTTCAAGCTCACGTCTAATGTATTCTTAAAGAGTTTTTGTATTTTACTACCACCAAGATAAACATTAGCAATGGCATACTACCCATTTTCTTAATAAACCTTAGGTTGATTTTCTAAATTACTATGACTATTATAAAAGTAAAACATGCTCATTAACAAGAAAAAATAGTACAAAAGGGTATAAAGAAATGCAGAAGTTTTGCTCTCTAATCTCAAATCCCTCTTCTCACTCTACTCCTCACAAGACCAACTGGCTAAAAGGCTCTTGTGCATTCTTTCACAAATACCTGTGCCAGCATACCCAAGTATATTTATAGTGACAGGCACAAGATCCATTATTCCTCTCTTCCTTAGAAACAAGGATCCTGACTGCCACTCATAAGGCCACCCAAACCATAGACTAAAAGACTCCAGTCCCCTACATTTTTGCAGCTACATGTCATCAGGTAGACATTAAATACTAGTCAATGGAATGCAAAGAAAAATGTTGTGTGGGATTTTTAGAATGGCGGCTGCTGCTGTTGTTGTTAGGTGCCGTCGAGTCATTTCCGACTTATAGCAACCCCATGCACAGCAGAGCAAAACACCGCTCAATCCCATGTCAGCTCCATGATCCTTGCTATACTTGAGCCCATTGTCACAGCCACCATGTCAATCCATCTTGTTGAAGGCCTTCCCCTCTTTCATCATCCCTCCACCTTACCAAGCATGACATCCTTCTCCCAGGAATGATCCCTTCTGACAATATGACCAAAGTAGGTGAGACGAAGTCTGGCATTCTCGCTTCCAAGCAGCATCTTGGCTGCACTTTCTCCAGGACAGATGTTAGTTCTTTT